CTAGTTGTAGTGTAATGGATGCAAGTGTTATGTTATGTTTTGTGCCTTAATTTGTATTACATTTGTGTAATGTTTAGTGAATCCAGGAATAATAGATTAGATTGTTATCTAATCTAATGGGTATCTAATGAAACATCAAACATCAAATTTCCCACATTTTTAGGGCAAATCATTGCGAGTGTTTGTTAGTTGTCCTTTGCATGGTTCTACCAAAGATTTTGTCTATCAATGTTGACGGATTGGTTGAAAAAAATTCCATCACATGCCACAAAGTTTCTCCAAATGACTAAAAAAAACTGGTGCTGGCTAGACCCCTTAGTACACAACCTCCTTCCAACATTGTGGGGTCGTGTGGCGTAACGGCAGAGTGCTCGGAACCAAGAGGTCCCGGGTTCAAGTCCTACCATGCCACCGATCTTGTGCCCTTGGGAGAGGCACTTTACACTTAACTCAAGTAAAAATGAGTATTGTCCTGCTCTCTGTCTTGTCCTCTGCGTCTGTGACGGCATAAAATACGTTGAAATAACTTGACTGTGCCGTCACCATGTCTAAGCTTGTCACGAAATGTTAGAATAAAAAAACACTACTCCCAACCATCCTTCAGTCGCAGGCTGCCGACTCACTCTTGACTGATTCCCAACCTTGTGTCGACTTAATCACGAATTGATATGGAAAAAATCAATAACGTTAAAGACGGGTCCATTCCGTTTTTAATCAAAACGATCCACAGTCTATGACATACCTGAGAGATCAAATCTGACTCAACATGAGTCAGCTCTTCTGTGGTTCTGGTTGCGTACCGGTTGGGTCAAGGTCGGGGGTGGTTGGAACACGTTCTGTTATTATTACCCTCGGTTGGGAAGGAATTAGAAGGGATTCGCCTAATGAACTGGAGTGAGTTGAGATTAGGTTGACTGGCAGTTGAGAATAGGTCAACAGTGATTGCGGTGTGGTTACAGGCCGAATTTGACCACCGACCGCTGCTGACCTACTCCCAACCACCAGTCAAGCTCCCGTCCACACCCGAATGTTTTGAAACATTCGGCTGGCGCTGCCGAACAGTAGCAGAGCACCAGCCAACCACAGCCGCCCTTGCTCAAGACCTAAGGCCACACCAAGTAAATTTTATGGATGAAGTCCTTTGGAGACCCTAAATGTAATGCGAGAGGGCGAAAAAAAAAACAAGAAGGGCCCTAAAAAACAAGATGCCTAGATTAGAAATATACTAGAGACGACAAATGTTAGGACACAAATTGAATGAGGTGACACTGTCACAGTGTAACAAGCAAGAAGTATTTTATTCATCATCAAAACAGCAATAAATCAGGTGGAACAGTGGACAGTGAAAATTTTTTTGTTATTGACAGGATGGTCCTGTCAATAGTGCAAATTTTCTGTTATTGACTTTCTTCGCGTTACGGGTTTCACATCAATCTGGTGATTTGCGGCACTGTCATGACTCTTTGGTCATAGTTACAGGAAGCGGAATGTCTTGTTATTTTTCTAGGAACAGGCCAAAATCAATGCGCGCGCGGACGTCATCCATAAAATTTACTTGGTGTGGCCTAATCCTAATCATGGTCGGAGGGAGTACGGCAGTGGTCGGGAGGACAAATTCGGCTGTGTGTGTGGCGTGCAGAGGCTTAACCAAGAGACTTGGGCAACTTGGGTTTGCTCCACATAGATTTAGACACCACCCCTACTGAATCCATTGATACTGACAGTACTGATAAGTGTTGCATACCGGTTCACTGGACTTGGATCCGGACTTGTAAGAATGTTTAGGTTCAAGTCCAAAAAAACCTAAAAGTCAAGAACCGAGTCCAGACTTATTACCATAAAAGACCATTTCACATACCTCTTTTCTTTCCAAACCACATAAAACCTTCTGTAGATTGCAAAATCTTTGCTGCAAAATGAAGAAAACATTGCCATCGGGCATCGTCAAGTACCGGCCTCCATGTTATGTGGCCAAAGTTTCACCCAGACAATATTGCAAGGTTGCCAACATGCAATACAAGTCCGGAACTAAACCTAAACCTCTGGACTTGAATCCGGACCTGAGCCTAAATGTGGGTTTAGGTATGCACCACTAGTACTGATACTACTCCAGTTCATTAGGCGAATCCCTTTTAATTCCTTCCCAATCGAGGGGACTAATAGATCGTGTGCCAACCACCCCCGACCTTCACCCAACCGGTACGCAACCAGAAGAACATTATTAAGCCGTGTTGGTGTCGATGACCGAGAGACGAGCCCGTATTTTGCACACGGCACGACCGGCAGTCAGACAAGCGTTGAACGGTAGAATCTCAGTCTTTACAGACAGTAAAATTCTGTTTTTGATCCGTTCATGCATGAAAAGGTCTCGGGGTCAACACGCTCTGCCTGAGGCCTGTCGGCAACTTTCTGGCTGGCTGACAGAGTTTTTATTTTATTCACATGGATTTTTGAGCATTGGATAAGAAGCACTTGTTGTGCTTATGTAAATCCGCTGCTCATAAAACATAATACAAAAGTAAACATAGAGATGACATAAAGTATAACATAAACATAAAATGAAAGTGGCTGGCGCACTAATACCTATAACATAACATTAATGAGATTGGTCAAATCTTCCAGAGTGGTGGATATAGTTGAACACAATATCAAAGATACGGCAGTTAGTAGGGTATGGGAGGGAGGGGCTGCCTGTAAGAAGTAAAGTACATAATGTGGCGTCGTTTGCGTTGACAGAGTTGTTTTTGAAGCAGGGAAATGTTAGAATGGAACAATTTATGCAAAGACATATTGAACTTTCAATGGGCATTTGATCACGTTTTAACAATATGTTTCGGTACCTGAACCTAAAAGCAGAGAGGTGGTAAATGTTTAGACTTTTCACCGGATCATGAACAGCGAACACAAGCTCTACTTCGCAGAACATCGCACACACATAGGTGAGGAGGGTTAGAAAAGACGGGGTCTGATCAAGCCATGAGCCACCCACAAAGGTCAAAGTGACGTCTCTTTCCAAAGTGGCATTGGGTGGCGTAGTGGTAGAGCGTTCGACTACGAAACGGGAAGACCCGTTACGGGTTCGATTCCTGGCTGGACGTTATACCATTATCATGAAAGTTCATCTGTGTTGGTACTTATCATAGTAAACGTTTAACTTCATTCCAACACACACATTATACAGAGACCAAATTTTCAGCAACCACTGTCGCCTTAGTAAAACGTTAAACTTTATTCCAGCACACAATTTATAGAGATCAAATTTTTCAGCGACCACTGTCGCCTTCATCAGGATAATTAATGACCAATCACTTCACAACGTGATCTCGCGAGAGTTACGGTTTACAAACACGTGACCTTATTCACTATCGCCTTCATCAGGATGATTAATGACCAATCATTAACTCTCGCGAGTTCGCCGTAAATCTCGCGAGATCACGTTGTGAAGTGATTGGTCATTAATCATCCTGATGAAGGCTACAAATTTGATCTCTGTATGATGTGTGTGTGGGAATAAAGTTCAACGTTTTACTATGACTTATACCATCCTCACTTCATCTAGGTGTAAACGGGCACACGACTTCAGTTGGGGAATTAAAGGCAGTAGAAGGGGGGTGGGCTCCGTTTTCCAATACCGTGCCCCAGGCGGAGTGGCTTTTATATTTACCCACAAGGCTAGGCTACAACCGCAAAAGGCTGTGGGACCTTTGCCTAACTCTACTCATCGAGACTCTACCTAACTTGTCCAGATTTACCTAACTCAACTCCAGTGGCAATACGTTCATAGCTGTAGATTCCTATTACAGTTAGTAGCACTGTTAGATATTCTCAACACCACCATATGTGTATGTTAACACCACAAACTATTTATGTATGTATCATTTTGCCATACGTTGTACCCGCTACATCTGTTGCGCAATAAAGTTTTTCTTCTTCTGTATCATGGAATTTTACCTAAGCCGAAAAGGCATTCCAACATACACGTGTAGAATGTGTAAAGGCCAGACAGGAACTGTAGAGCGCACCATGTATAAGGTGTCCCCCTTCAGGAATCTAGGGAACAGCTACAATACATCCGTCCTGTTGTTGATGATATAATATAATTATAATAACTTTATTGCGCAACAATTGTACAAGGTACAAAGTATGGCATCTACTAACTTAAGTAAGTGCATATCAACGACATTTTCATAAGGCTAATCTAATACAAAAGTGGGTGGCTAGTATGGGATAGGTATCAACTTACACAATCGTTGGAGGACTTTCTAATATCCATACAGTCTTTAATATATATCCCTATGTGTAGCATGTAGGGGTTGATGTATAACTTAAATTCAGAGAACCAGATAAGTCAAGGGACAAAAGTGGAAACTAAAGCCACTGTATCAGTCATCTGACAATTTCCGCTAATTAAAATGAATTCCAATTGGCATTTCTACCCATCCATTATCAAAATATGTTCATATAGAAATATCAGACTCACCTTTCATGATTGTTTTTAATTATCTTCAGTAAATTCTTGTCCACGTCACCAGACGTAATCCAACGGAAAGGGGGTCCATACTTCACCCATAATCCAGGCATGGATTGTCGCACAGATTACATGGCGACTTTCTAAGGGTCTTTTGTATTAAAATCTCCATAGAGAACACTACAGACTCTAAAAAACGGTCGATGTTTAAGGAATAAACATGGCGACAAAACGAACATGTAGGAAAACCTTGGGAAACCGGTTTCACGTCGGGTGAGTCATACACCTACACGACATGTACAGGAACACGTACATGGATACCACCTTGCGGTCCTTTCTGATAGTGCAGGTAATAGTGGGGGAATACAGTAGCAGACAGAGTTAGCTATCGGCCGCTGTTTGTCTATTGGCGTCCAGTATTGTTGTCATATTTTTCCATGTAGGAATTGCGCGGGATGGGGTGTGGTCTGGACACGTCTTTGTCCTATCCAAAATGGGTCTCGGGCAAAAGCACCACATATTTGGTTCTCACCATGTTGGAAGGGCGACTGGCCCTTCCGGGCCAGAATCCTGAAAAAAAACAGATGGCACAAACCAAACTAATTTTAGTAACTCCACGTGCCGGTCGACGTCGAACTCCGTCATGTTAAGGGCAAATCAAGGACATGTATGTCACCTGTAAGTGGATGGTGTTCAGCACCAAGGACATGTATGTTACCTGTTTATGTTAGTGGATTGTGTTCAGCACCAAGGATATGTATGTTACCTGTTAGTGGATGGTGTTCAGCACCAAGGACATGTATGTTACCTGTTTATGTTAGTGAATGGTGTTCAGCACTAATGACATGTGTGTTACCTGTTTATGTTAGTGAATGGTGTTCAGCACCAAGGACATGTATGTTACCTGTTAGTGGATGGTGTTCAGCACCAAGGACAGGCATGTTCACCTGTAAGTGGATGGTGTTCAGCACCAAGGACATGCATGTTACCTGTTAGTGGATGGTGTTCAGCACCAAGGATATGTATGTTACCTGTAAGTGGATGGTGTTCAGCACCAAGGACAGGCATGTTCACCTGTAAGTGGATGGTGTTCAGCAGCAAGGACATGTATGTTACCTGTTAGTGGATGGTGTTCAGCAGCAAGGACATGCATGTTACCTGTTAGTGGATGGTGTTCAGCAGCAAGGACATGTATGTTACCTGTTAGTGGATGGTGTTCAGCACCAAGGACAGGCATGTTCACCTGTAAGTGGATGGTGTTCAGCAGCAAGGACATGTATGTTACCTGTTAGTGGATGGTGTTCAGCAGCAAGGACATGCATGTTCACCTGTAAGTGGATGGTGTTCAGCAGCAAGGACATGCATGTTCACCTGTAAGTGGATGGTGTTCAGCAGCAAGGACATGCATGTTACCTGTTAGTGAAGTGGATGGTGTTCAGCACCAAGGACATGTATGTCACCTGTTAGAGGATTGTGTTCAGCATTAAAGACATGTATGTCACCTGTTAGAGGATTGTGTTCAGCATTAAAGACATGTATGTCACCTGTTAGAGGATTGTGTTCAGCATTAAAGACATGTATGTCACCTGTTAGAGGATTGTGTTCAGCACCAAGGACATGTATGTCACCTGTTAGAGGATTGTGTTCAGCATTAAGGACATGTATGTTACCTGTTAGTGGATGGTGTTTGCATCGATTTGCAAACATGAAACAGCTCGCGTAAAGCAGACTTATCAAATGAACACGTAATCATTTCAGTTGCTTGATATTGAGAACAGTTGGCTACAAAAGGAGTTACTGCTGTATTAATCTCTCTTTGCATCTGAAAAAAAATCTTTTTTTCTTAAATGTTAAGCATTCTTGAATGTGTCACCAGTCTGGGACTCCTGCTCCCTTCCTTTCATGGTGCCACTTGTCAGGTTTCTGGGCAGCAAAAACACGTCCTACACCAAGCAGGTGCTTAATAACAATAACTTGTTTGTGCGCAGCGTGATACTCAAAGCAGTTTCACATCAACTGCATGAAATGAAATTAAAAGTAAAAGATAAAAGCAAACAGCCACAGATTGTACGATTTGCAAACATGAAGCAGCTCGCGTAGAGCAGACATCAAATGAACACGTAATCGTTTTAGTTGCTACATATTAAAAAGCAGTTTCACATCGATTGAATAAAATTAAAAATGAAAGATAAAAGCAAACGAATGAACACGTAATCATTTCAGTTGCTTGATATTAAAAACAGTGGTCTACAAAAGGAGTTACTGGTGTATTGATCTTTCGTGTGTCCTTAAATGTTAAGCATAAGCATTAATTTCTGATAGCAAACACAATACCCAAAAAAGTGACGTAAAAACATGCACAATGTACTTCAGCAATCAGTGAACACTACACTGAAAAAAGTTAAATCTAATTTCTGTTATACTGTTTTTTTTTTTGGTTTGGTTTGGTGAGTATACATGATTCTGTGTGGGTGTCATTTTGGTAGTTAGAATAATTACGCTATATCTTATTAAAGTATACGTAGAGCATTGTCTTCTTTAAAGTAAACAGTACTTCTGAATGTTTCTCAATTGATATTTCACTATAAAAAAAACGAAGAAAGTATTATAAGCACTGCAGCTCATAGCCACAACTTAGTTGTATTGAAACCTTTCTCCAGACAAATACGACTTAACAAATGCAACCTGCACAGTTCGGTACATCTTTATATTCCAACATGTAATCACAGGACGTGCTCACAGTAAGTATTTTTATATTGGGCTCTATTGACAATCAGCCAGTCAGTCAAAATGAATGAACTACCCAACGAAAAATGTCAAATCAGAATTCCTTTATTTGTTCGAATTACCCTTGGTACATACTTTCTGGTGCACTGATATTGCATCTGGACATATTTGTGTGATTGATAATTATAGTTGTTAAGAATTTGTTATTTGAATCTTTTAAATGCATCTTCTTACAAAACACGTGGCTTTTAATTAAAAGAATTGAAACTTACTAGTCACTCCGGTATACAACAATTCATTCTACATTTCAATTCCCTCAATCATAATATTACAATCCTATGAACATCCAGATTGTTGTCTGTTATGAATTTAGACATTTTGTATTTCAACTAAGGCCATGTTGATTTGATTATATGGATGACATCCGCGCGCGCATGAATTTTCGGCCGTTTCCAAAAAAAAAAGTTTCCAATCACACTGTAAATTGTACAAAACAGTTGCAAAATGAGCAAATATATACCGAAAGTTGCAAAAAAAAATATTTGAAAACGATTCCAACGTCATAGAATGCCAAAATCAAACAAAAAACTAAAATGCAAAGAAATGAATTTAAAGAGTAGATTATTCGCCATACCATACTCTGTGTCATTTGTTCGACCTTCATGACAACGTAGATTTCATGAAAGCAACTTTTTTTTTGCAAAACTTTTTTTTATTCGCGCGCTCGCATCAGTTTTGGGGTTTCCAGAGGATGTCATCCATATAATCAAATCAACATGGCCTAAGTGGGCCACAATCTGCCTCAAACACGTAAGCTTTTAGAATATTTACATAAATTGTAATGAATTGTTGGAAGATTGAAATACAAGCAGTACATTACACTTGCTCAGGATCATTTGCAATTGGCAATGGCTATTAGGGCAGTATTATGTTCCCCTGTTTAAACCACCAATCAAATAGGACAAACTTCCTGCAAAATTTAACAAATTTGTACCACATTTGTACTCAATGTTTATGATATTTTACTATTACATTTACATTACTATTGCATTATCACTATCACAAAGGGTTTATTTCATGCTAATTGACATTTCAATGGAAGAAACTAATTGACAGGAAAATCCTTTAAGTGCACTTGATTATTCATCACATTTATGTAGTTGTTAAATTAGAAAGTGACATGTACAGCGATTTCAACAAAAGTTCAGCAGCCTATCGCACATGGTTACAAAGTGATCTTTTGGAATACAGTTTAAGTAATATAGACACTCAATATTGATAGTTTGGTTCTTTAGTCAATTTATGCGTGTCCATGCTTAAGTATTCTACCTTCAAGTTGTCCACTTACAGAGAACCATCCGAGAACAGTTGCGGTGAGCGCTCGGCCATGTCTCCTAGTTACACCCTGTAACAGAAAACAAAAAAAAATGCCATAGATGACATGTGGATGTCCTGACTGCTTCAGTACTCGTAGCAATAATGGATGAAAAACGGCAAATGTGAAACCTTTAACCATGTAGGAATAACATCCCCAAGGAAAGCCTTTGACGACTTCGATACTCCTGGCGCTAATGGTTGAAACATTGGCAAGTTCGAAACCCTTAGTTAACATTGTAAGAATGATATCATTTTTCAGTTAAGTTTCCATTTTCGATTAGTAGGAATGATCTTCGCTTCAGGTACCTGCGGTGACTTGGCAAATGAAGTTGGCCATGAAATTGCACCGTCCGTCGTACCACTTGTCATTTTCCCTCCGGTATATGACGCAGTTTTGCTTGTCGTAAACGACGCGCGGTTCTCCCCGAGATCACGAGGTGTACCCCCGAAGGGGCGTGCCGTCCACCCACTCGAACACAGCTTTCTTGCGCCGATCGAAAAGGCCGAACCAGAATGAGCCAGTAGAGCCAGTGGCCCTATACAGCGAAATCAGAAAAGCGTCGATCCAAGGGTTTTGGGGCATGGCGAGGGTGCCGCCATCTCGACGACAGATCTCGCTCGCTCCGCCGAAGCTGCTAAAAGTGTCGTAAGCCTTGTAGCAGGTATCACGGGACTTCTTATAACCTTTTGGACAATCTGGAGAAAATGTGTTTGAACAGCTTTAAGGAGAACAAAAGAGTTGGTCAAATGGCTCCTCTTCCAACACTAACATAATTAAGTTTGAAGTTCGAGCTTATTAAGAAAGGAACTCACGGGCTTGGTTTGCCGTAATGCGTGCTAAATACAATTTCTGTTTGGGTGTACATAGCTTCTTGGTTAAATGTATGTTTGTGATATGCAGTTACTTGTTTGTAAGTGATTATCTTCTAAGACATCTATTTGGTACATACAAATGCAACCATAGAATGAGACAACAGTTACCAACTAAGATGAATCATCAAAACAGCCAAATGTCATATCTTTTAAAGGTGTGCTTAGTCAAAGAAAAAAGGATGCCACACCTCCTTTAGACTTGCAGTGTGGCGTTGACTTGACCCGCCCATGTGGCCCCGTTTTACCCTTTTGTTCCGGGCGTTGGCCTTGCCCTTGGAACCCAGGGGGCCCCTTCGGCCCCTGCGGCCCGGTTGGCCCAATTGCACTCTTTTGTCCCGGGCGTCCCGGTGGCCCTTGGAACCCAGGCGGCCTCTTCTGCCCTTGAGGCCCAATTGGCCCCGTTTCTCCCTTTTGGCCCAAGCATCCGCTTGGCCCAGGGGGCCCCATCCGACCTTGAGGCCCAGTTGGCCCAATGTCTCCCTTCTCTCCTGGCGGGCCAGGTGGCGCGGGAGGCCCAGTAGACACAGGGGCAACTGGTCCCATGGTCCCCTTCTTTCCTGGTGCGCCAGGTAGCCCAGGAGGCCCAGGTGGCCCGGCAGACACAGCGCCAGGTGGCCCAATGGCTCCTGGTGGACCAGGAGGCCCAGTAGACCCGGGGCCAGTTGGCCCTATGCCCCCCTTTTCTCCACGAGGCCCAGTTGGCCCAATGGCTCCCTTCTCCCCTGGTGGGCCAGGTGGCCCAGGAGGCCCGGCAGACACAGGGCCAACTGGCCCAATGGGCCCCTTCCCTCCTGTAGGGCCAAGACGCCCGGCAAACACTGGCTGCCCGGAGGAAACACATGTCTCTGGAAAAACACCTGATCATAAGCTTACGAGAGATCATGGAGAATACAGTTTGACACATCACAAACATATGTTGGATGTATAAATATTGAGGACAGTAAGCATTAAGTTCCTTTGCACACGTGTGCATTAAAGAGTTACATGATTTAAATACACAGAATTGTACAACTACAAAAAGGACATAGTAGTATATAGATACGATAAAATGTTAGTTACTAACGTTCCAGCTCGGCAAGTCGCTGCTCGGTCCTTTGGTTCTGCTTTTTCATCTCCTCAAATTGCTTTGCCGTTTCCACAGACTGACTGGCGTTTTTGACTATATTAAAGGAAAATAGGAGAAAAAATATCAGTGGCTTCTTATACAGGTTAAGCCAACATATACCTGTACAAGATATTGCAAGTTAAAAACATTATGAGATTAGAATTTGAGTTTGGAAACTGATTGTCTAAACATTGTAAATGAAACGAGGCGTGTATTTTCCTGATGTAATCTAAGAAACTTGCCTGCAAAAAAAGACAACAGTATAACGATCACCACAGCGAACACAAGGCCTGTGATCTGCCATAATTTGTTGCGCAGGCGCCAACACTTGTTACCGTCCGGGGGCGTATCGTAGGCATCTGTAAAGACAGAAATATTTATGTTTACCCTCACCACTACGTGTTTTAAATAAACATTTAATGGTGATGTAACTAAAAACAAAAAAAGCCGCATACCTCTGATCTGCTAGCGTCATTAGGGTAATACTGTCAAAGGACATTTCTACTGCGACCGACTAATTCCCAAAGATTTGGTAGATCGCTCAACTAAGTTAATAGATAAACTCAATTTCCTCTTCTAGTATATTTTGTTGTCTTTTTGCAATATTTTCTAACCCATTGCATCATAATTATTAATATAGAAATCATGGATCGCACAAATCCAATCCTGGTCACTGTACGATCGCCGTACGCTTAGTAAATAGGAGCATCAAAGCAAAACAAATAGTTTTGCAACGTAGTAATCTGCAAAGTTATTTTTACCTGCTCTAGAGACGTACAGAGCGTTCGGTATGTTCGCAGCGGCGTCCGCAACGGACCGCCAATCTGTCTGAGGCTGCTGCATGGGTGTGGCGCCTGTGGAAAAAAAAATAGAATTATGTCCATCCTACGTCTTTTGCTGAATAACCAGGACTGTTAACAGCCCAATCTTAAAAATAAGTCATTTCACAGCCGGACCAAGAGGTCATGAGTTCGAATCCCGGCTGACTGTGCCGCTCACATGACGTACATGCATGTCGGGTGAGCGGCACAGCTGAGATTCGAACCATGACTTGTCGGTATAGCTGTATATAACTGTTTTGAGGAAAGCTGTGCGTTTAGAAAACAAACAAACAAGCAAACAAAGAAACAAACAAGCTACCTCCAGGATCCCCGGTCTGGGACTGCTGCTGCCCTCTCTTCATGGTGCCACTTGTCAGGTTTCTGGACAGCAAAAACACGCCCTACACCAGGCAGGTGCTAAATAACAATAACTTGTTTGTGCACAGCGTTAGACTCAAAGCAGTTTCACATCGACTGAATGATATTAAAAGTGGAAGATGAAAGCAAACAGCCACAGATTGCACGATTTGCAAACATGAAGCAGCTCACGTAAAGCAGACTTATCAAATGAACACGTAATCATTTCAGTTGCTTGGTATTCAAAACAGTGGGCTACAAAGGAGTTACTGTTGTATTGATCTTTCTTATGTTCTTAAATGTTAAGCATAAGCATTAATTTCTGATAGCAAACATAATACCCCAAAAATGACGTAAAAACATGCACAATGTACTTCAGCAATCAGTGAACACTACACTGAAAAAAAGTTAAATCTAATTTCTATTATACTGTTTTTCGGTTTGGTTTGGTTTGGTGAGTATACATAATTGTGTCATTTTGGTAGTTAGAATAGTTACGCTATATCTTATTAAAGTATACGTAGAGTATTGTCTTCTTTAAAGTAAACAATACTTCTGAATGTTTCTCAATTGATATTTCACTATAACAAAAACCGAAGAAAGTATTATAAGCACTGCAGCTCATAGCCACAACTTAGTTGTATTGAAACCTTTCTCCAGACAAATACGACTTAACAAATGCAACCTGCACTGTTCGGTACATTTTTATATTCCAACATGTAATCACAGGACGTGCTCACAGTAAGTATTTTTATATTGGGCTCTATTGACAATCAGCCAGTCAGTCAAAATGAATGAACTACCCAAGGAAAAATGTCAAATCAGAATTCCTTTATTTGTTCAAATTACCCTTAGTACATACTTTCTGGTGCACTGATGTTGCATCTGGACATCATTGTGTGATTGATAATTAGGCCACACCGAGTAAATTTTATGGATGACGTCCTTTGGAGACCCTATATCTAATGCGAGAGGGCGAAAAAAAACAAGAAGGGCCCTAAAAAACAAGATGCCTAGATTAGAAATATACTAAGAGACGACAAATGCTAGGACACAAATTGAATGAGGTTACACAGATTAACAAGCAAGAAGTCTTTTATTCATCATCAAAACAGCAATAAATCAGGTGGAACAGCAGTTGTCGTCCTGTCCTGTTTCTTTCATCACATTTTTGCAGGCCTGCAGAAACAAAGCATGTGCTCTTTACCCATTTCGCGTTACGGATTTCACGTCAATCTAACGATTTGCAGCACTGTTGCGACTCTTTGGACATACTTACAGGAAGCGGAATTTCTTGTGTTTTTTTTCTAGGAACAGGCCAAAATCAATGCGCGCACGGACGTCATCCATAAAATTTACTTGGTGTGGCCTTATAGTTGTTAAGAATTTGTTATTTGAATCTTTTAAATGCATCTTCTTACAAAACACGTGGCTTTTAATTAAAATAATTGAAACTCACTAGTCACTTAGGTATACAACAATTCATTCTACATTTCAATTCCCTCAATCGTTACAATTCTAGGAACATCCAGATTGTTGTCTGTTATGAATTTAAACATTTTGTATTTCAACTAAGTGGGCCACAATCTGCCTCAAACACGTAAGCTTTTAGAATATTTACATAAATTGTAATGAATTGTTGGAGGATAAAAATACAAGCAGTACATTACACTTGCTCAGGATCATTTGCAATTGGCAATGGCTATTAGGGCAGTATTATGTTCCCCTGTTTAAACCATCAATCAAATAGGACAAACCTCCTGCAAAATTTTACAAATTTGTACCACATTTGTACTCAATGTTAATGATATTTTACTATTACATTTACATTACTATTGCATTATCCCTATCACAAAGGGTTATTTTTAATGCTAATTGGCATTTCAATGGAAAAATATAATTGACAGAAAAATCCTTTAAGTGCACTTGATTATTCATCACATTTATGTAGTTGTTAAATTAGAAAGTGACATGTACAGCGATTTCAACAAAAGTTCAGCAGCCTATCGCACATGGTTTACAAAGTGATCTTTTGGAATACAGTTTAAGTAATATAGACACTCATATTGATAGTTTGGTTCTTTAGTCAACTTATGCGTGTCCATGCTAAGTATTCTACCTTCAAGTTGTCCAGTTTTACAGAGAATCATCAGAGAACAGCGGCGGTGAGCGCTCGGCCATGTCTCCTAGTTACACCCTGTAACAGAAAACAAAAAAAATGCCATAAATGTAATGTGGAAATCATGACTGCTTCAGTACTCGTGGAAATAATGGTTCAAAAATTGGGAATTGTGAAAAAAATGTAGGAATGCCAGTAATATCCCCAATGAAAGTCTTCGACTGCTTCCGTACTCCAATGACTGGAACATTGGCAAGTACCAATCCTTTAATTAACCATGAAAGAATAATAAATATAATTTTCCAGTGAAGCGATTCATTTCAATTAGTAGGCATAGTTTTCGCTTGAGGTACCTGGAGTAACTTTGCAAATGAAGTTAGCCGGGGTATCGCAACCCGGGACGTTGTCCCACTTGTCCTCTGCTATCCGGTACTGAACGCAGTCGCGATAGGGGAGGCTGAACCAAAATTCGTCAGTACAGCCAGTGGCGCCATACATGGCAATCAGCCAACCGCTGGAGACAGGGTCGTCGGACTTCGCGACGGTACCGCCATCCTGACGACAGGTCGCGCTCGCTGCTTCGAAGGTCTTACGAGTGTAGAATGCCTTGTAGCAGATTCCACGCCGATTCTGATAACCTTTAGGGCAAGCTGAGGAATACATGTTTTGTTTATGAAATATTTTCTATTCTATATAAGGTCTTATTCTATCCTTTTTACCTCCGGGGGAGGAGACATCCTACCGCGGAAGGGTTTTGTGAGAGATTTAGACTTTCATGTTTGCAGCTGTTTCTCGCGTTTGGGTGGACGGATTCTTTTGAGACTCGGTATATGTTTTTTTGTTGGGCTGCATATGATGCACGTTCTTTTGTTTTTATTGTATATGTGTTTTCAGGCGTGAAAATGGTGCCTTTTGGTGGCCTAAAACACCCCTTTGAGCGTGAAAGTGGTCGCGACCGTTGACCTTTGGCGTGTTTAAGCTATTCTCGGTCTGGTCCACGTATATGACCTCTCACACAGAGGGGTGTCCGGTCTCGATAAATTCTTTGTTTAAAACCCTATATAAAAATATACAATAAAAATCCCGGAGGTATAAAATCTCAGATTTTACTTGTTTTACTTTGTTAAATAGTTGTTGCCATACATTGTACCATGTGCATTTGTCGTGCAATTGTGCTAAGTTGTTCTTGTTGTTGAAGTAAACTTGATTCCACACCTCCAGTTGACTCGCAGCACCCTTTTGGGCCAGTTGGTCCGATTGCACCTTTCTGTCCGGGAGGCCCTTGTCGTCCCGAGGGTCCCCGCAACCCCCGAGGCCCAGGGTACCCAGGACCAGCTGGCCCCATGGTCCCCTTCTCTCCTGGAGGGCCAGCTGGCCCCGTGGCCCCCTTTTCTCCAGGAGGCCCGGCAGACGCAGGACCAACTGGCCCCATAGACCCCTTCTCTCCAGGTGGGCCAGGAGGCCCGGCAGACCCGGCTTGTCCGGATGAAACACACATC